TGTGGCAAAATGTCGTGCTCTCCACAGCAACTTTCTTCTTTGCTTTGCTTTGCTTTGGAAATCAGTGACTTTTTGCAAATATTCATTCTCCCTGTCATTAGGCTTTTTAGGTGACATCTTTTGTTAGATATTTTTATTTGACATTTATATTCTGAATGTCAAAATAAAGAAGGGAGGGGAAGGGATGCAGTGGCTGGACCTAGTGACAGAGGCTTCAGACATCTCTTACCATTCAGAACAGTAAGATGCTGCCCCTGCTAATTTCATTAGAAATACAGAAATAACATCTCATTAGCAACATCTGAATCAGCAGCTGTCACAAAGTCTGCAGATACTTGATCTGGGAAGTCCTTACATATTTTTCTATCCTAACACACTGGTAATCCCACCCTTCAGCATGACCTACGAACGCCTCGTAAGACCACTGGATCCATTTCAGCTTCACAGCAGAAATGTTGCAGTCTTGCATTATCTCACGTAGGAGGGGGGAAGCAGAAAGTTGGATACAAAGTGCAATAAAATGATATTTGGAATGTAGGTTGCCACCAGTCACCAAGGTGATAAATCATGCAATCACAGAGATATAGATTCAAATTTCTCAGTCTATGTCAGTCATCCCTGTGTCACTGGAAATAATATCAAAGCCCTGAAGGCTTTGACCAGTGGCTGTAACATAGGTTATGTTCATACCAGGGATCAAACAATATGTCCTGGAGTGTGAGAGACATTTGCATGGTGATGGCTTGTACAATATGGAATTATAGGAAACTTATTTGCTTTTGTAAAAGCAGCTCAAAATCAGCTAGGACATTTATGCATCTGAAATAATGGGACACGTGTGAGGACAACTGAATTGAGTCCTGAGAGTGACAAAGAGCCTTACTTGAGATCTGAATGGATGGGGACCATTATCTGGTCTGGAGAAGAGGAGGCTAAGGGTGACCTTACTGCTCTCTACAACTCCCTGAAAGGAGGTTGTGGTGAGGTGGGGGTTGGCCTCCGCTCCCAGGCAGTGTCAGTAGGATGAGTGCTGATAGCTTCATATTGTGCCTGAGGAGGTTCACGTTGAATATTAGGAACAATTGAACAATTTCTTCTCAGAAAGAGTGGTGATGCATTGGCACAGGCTGCCCAGGGAGGTGGTGGAGTCACTGTCCCTGAAGGTGTTCCAGAATCATGGAGGTGTGGCTCTGAGTCAGTGGGCATGGAAGGGCTGGGTTGGTGTTAGGCTTGGTGATTAACAGCATGTCTTTTTTTATGAAATTCAGCCCCAAATACCTCCTTCTTCCAGCTTGCTGAACCTCAAGTGGTCAGAGCTGATTGAGCCATCCACACAATACCTATCCAAAATCAAACCTGGGGACCACATCCACTATGAGGAACTTCATGTGTTCATACTAAAAGTCATGGGAGCTGTCACAGATTTTTCTATACAGGCTGCAGTGCAAAAGGGAAAGCACAGCCATGGTTTTGCACTGGATAGGGCCCTGAAGCCCCATGCCTGGTTCTCTGATACAGCTCTGAGCTCTTTGGAGGAAAACAGATTTCCTCTGGGTTCAGATCAATGCACATTACCTCTCCATTGGCGGAAGCAGACAAATTAGGAGTCAGGTTAAGGCCTGAGCACTGTATGAAAATCTAACAGCAAACTACTCCGAGGGTCGCACACTTGGAAGATATCCAAACCACAGGGAGAGGGGAATGCAGAGACCTTTTGGGAGGGGGCATATGCATCCTGTGGATGCCCGTGGTGGCTTGGTTTCATTTCTTTTGTTTAGTTGTTGGGTTTTTTTGTTTTTTGGTTTTTTTTTTCCACGCACTCTCAGAGTTCTCAGAAGACATCTCCTGCTCTGTTTTCTTTCCTGTTCTCCCAAAGTCATCAGGCTGTAGCAAAGTTCCTACCCTGAGGTCAGGCAGGTGGAAAGCTGAGATGCAGAAGGGAGCAGAGAGGAAGTCTCCCACCACACCAACAGGGAGGGAGAAAGGAAGGTCTTGTTACAGGCTTAGCACTCAGTACGTCTGAAATAGTACTTACACCTTTTGTGGTTCATCGATCTCTGAGTTACGGCTGGAGTGAGGTGGGGAGGGAAGGAGCAGGTGGGCTGGTTCACAGCAGACAGATCAGTTCACCTGGAGAGACAAGACAGTTGGCTGTGGTTTGGTGGAGCTTTGTAATGCACAGAGAGAGCATGGGAGAAAAGAAGGGCTCATAGGCTGTACAGTGCCTGAGAGAACCACAGACCATGATCTAGAGAGGTAGTATGGTGCTTGACTTGATGGGAAGCCATTTCACTAACCCCAAAGGCAAGTCACCCACAGCAGAGCACTTTAACCACCTTAACCTATCCAAATCCTTCCAGAAGCAAGTGTGAGTGGCTCAGCAACAAGAATGCCTTCCCAAAGTATTTGGGAAGAAGAAAGGATGAAGATTAGATCCATACCACACTTCTCCCAACACTATCTCATCCCAGCAGGGCATGGGATGGAGTAGGCAGGCAGCAATATTCAAAGGACGTCAGGTATGAAACTGATGTTCCCTAATCTTGCTATTATATTGTGAATTTTACATTTTGTTAATAATCCATACCACCAACATCACGGATCTTGAAGGGGGTTTTGTGTCCTTCTGTTTCCTTCAGTTTCTTTTCAGCTTCTCCTTTTTCAATGTGCATGCATCAGCAGTTGAAACAGTGAAGAATTACAGCAAGAGTCGAATTAAATGGCATGAGTTAAAGTGTCACACCTTTTAAAACAGTGTATTATGGAGTGGCAAGGCCACACTTATTAAGGCTGGGTTGCCACTTCCAACAGGTTGGTAGAGGACCAGTGACAGTCAGTGTGCATTCAGAGCAGATTTACCAGAGACATCATGTGGAACTCCTGTAGCAGGATGGTCTGTTGGAGAACACCCTGTCTGGATCCTATAGAAGCAATGTCCTTGGCTTGGCTATGCATGACTTTTGTGGTCTTCTGTGAATTATTTGATCTTCCATTAGCTTGAAAAAGAGGTTTCTCAGACCATGAAGGTGGTTGTTTCAGCTGGCAGATGACTCAGTGTTTTGTTACCTGGAGGACCTTTCCTGATTCAGCATTTTGGTTTCCATAGCTGGGACCTCCCTTGAGCTAGGAGATGAATGAGACCTGGAACTGCCCTTTTATTTTCCCCTGGGTAAATCCAGGTCTTCCCATTCGCAAGAACAAGTACTCTTGGAAACTAATAAGCAGGAACTGCCCTCTCAAAGGTCCATCTCAGCATTTTGGGAAACCTTCCAAGGCTTTCCTCGAGGACCTAAACACCCCATCCAAAAATTAACCTTCCCTGGAGGATCTCTGTTGTGATGCTGGGTGAGACATGCAGCACCTACGTCTGCAAGCAGGCAGAGTAGCGTGCATGCATGCACGCATGTGTATGTCTTGGCAGTTCTGACTCCACGTCCTTTCAAAAAGAGGCCCTGTGGTTAATCAGAGGAATTAACCACAGCCTCCAAAAGTCTTTTGCCAGCCAATCAGCAGGCCCTTTCCAAGGCCATTGCTGCTACAATGGTGTCGTTGTCTGATAGGAACATGGATCTTTCCGGTTGAATTTCTGAATGGGGCTCAGGGATGCTTTTGTTCAGCTGGGCGTAGTAACGCCTCAGATTTGCCAAACGAACAAGAATCCAGAACTTGGAGTAAGGTTTTTTGTTTTTTTTTTCTTCTTTTAATTTTCACTATAGAGGCAAATGTTTTCCAGTTCAAAGATGACCCCAGTCTGGCAGCTGGAAATGTGCTCCAGGCTTTGCAGGGAACAACTTATTATAACGTATTTTTTTTTCCTAAAACCCTCCAGCCTCCTCATATTCACTTTTTAGTGCCTGCTGTCCCCACATACACATATATACATGCACACACATCCACACTAGGATTAACATTGGCAAGCACACCACTCTACCAATGGAAACCGCAAAGAAACATTCACATATCTGGGGATTCTGATGTAATAGGGCTGAGGTTTTGCATTCCAGGACAGCGTTGCTAGCCTCAAATCAAAATCAGAGCTGTCATTCAGAACCCCGTGTTACGAATGTTATTGCAGCCCGGCGGGTGGGGTGAGGGAAAGGCGGGGGGTGGAGGAGGAGGGAATGAGGAGAAAGATGCTGAATTGGTTGGTTTCTTCTGAGTTTATTTCTGAGTTCAGATGATGAAAGGCAGCGCGAGCCAGGATGGGGCAAGCATTTTAACCCTTTTCAGGCAGATAAGTTTGGTAAGCCTCACGTTAAGGGACATGCCCCAGCTACAGAATGAAGGAAAACATCTCAAAATCTAATGGAAAGCTAAGGGTTTATAGGCCCAGCTCTAAAACAGAGGGGCAAGGCAGCTAACACTGCAGGATGAATGGCTGAGGTCTCCTGTGAACAGGACCATTTCCAATGGGATTTTGGCCAGCTGAAGTTGTGTCTGCATTTGATAACCATAGTCATAGGGTGCTTTAGATTAAAAACACAAATGGAATTGATTTCTTCTCACAACCCTGAGCCAAAATATGCCCTCCCCATGTTTTCTGTGATAAGCTGACATTAAACCAGCCTGCCCATCAGACAATCAGCAATAGCATGGCAGAGCCCTACAGCTAAATTTTGCTCTTCCATCAAAAATCCCAGGTTGGTGAGCATTCTATTTGAGCAAAAATTGACAAGTGATCTCTGGATTTGGCTGAGAGTTTGTAAGGCGCTTTGGGTTCCTTTGGGATGAAAATGCTGCAAAACTCCCCTTTTCGTCACAATTCCATTGCAAAAATCACAGCTCCCCCCAGCCATTAGGAGAGAGAAATTTCACTTTCCAAGCTGCTGTAATGTCCACAAGATGACATCAGGTGTGATTGCCCAAGGTTCCCCAAGCCCAGAGATCTACACCCCAACAGGTACAACAGCCTGAATCTCTGTACTGCTACAGTGGATGTGTTACGATGCAGGAGGACGCGTTCTAATGTGACGCTATTTTTTCCATCATTTGTACTGCAGGAGGTCTTTGATCGCCTCTATTTGATTTATACTGTTGGATACTCCATCTCTCTGGGATCCCTCACAGTTGCTGTCCTTATCCTGGGATACTTCAGGTAGGCGGCTCTGTTTTTACCTAAGCGAGTTATCGCTGGACTGGAAAAGCCTTGGGCTTTCCTAAAGGATAAAATTGGGATGGCAAAGGGTTGCATCTGTGCTTTGGGCTGTGTTAGTCCCACTTAGGTCAAACTTCTGGGGGATGAGGGGAGGGATGTTTGAATTTCTTCCCATTGTCTGCAATGGAGATTTCTATTATAACGAACGGGAAGTGAAACAGCTCCAGGAAGAGACTTGTCTCATTTAGAATACTATGTAGAGTTTTCTGTTCCTAATTGTCCTTAGAGTTAGATGGGTAATTTTTAGGTGGTTAAGGTTTCAAAAGGGAAATGCCACTCTAAACCCAAACTTTATTGAAGGAGAGACTAGTTGAAGGGAACTCTGGCCACATAAAAGTCTTGGACAGAGTCATTCTCCCTATTCTGCTCCAGTACCTGGGGAGCTAGAAATGATCACTTGCTCTTCTGCCTGCCCTCTCCACTGTCCGAGGGATGTAGATCCCTAAATACTGGTTTGAACCTGCAACATCCTGCCTATTGAGCTGCCTTTTGCATGTTTTTTTTTTTGCTACCATCATCACCAGAGGCAGGATGAAAGTCTCATTAACAGAGAATTTTGAATGCCTCATCCCTGAAGGTATTCAGGCTGGATGGGGCCCTGGGCAAACTCATCTGGTGCCTGATTTAGTGGTTGGCAACCCTGCCTACAGAAGGGGCTTGGAAATGGATAACGTTTGAGGTTCCTTCTGACCCAAACTATTCTATGATTCTGTGATTCTATGGTTCACAGCAAAAATTTGTCCTTTGGGCACCCATATCTGGAGAGCAGATAGAGCAGAGTTCTGACCCCCTGGTCTCAGTGTCACAAGTGCCACATTTTCTTCCCTTTGGCTGCTGGCAGTCATCTCTCGTGGCAGACAGCAGGACCCAGACATCAACTGCAAAGGGAGGTTCTCCATGCAACAAACAGATGCAACTGGCAGCTACCACCATGCAAGCATAGGCTAAACCCCAGGGACATGCCAGCTGGTATAAAACGTGTGCCCTTTGGCTCTGTAAGTTCTCAGACCTCTCTGTAGTGAGCAAAAGGAGGCTGAAAGGGTTTGCCTGGATAGCAAAGCATCCCAATGCCTGAGCCAGTGAAACACACAAGGTAGAGTGGGCTGCAGACCCCTCCTGGAGGCGTGATCCCAAAATCCAACCATACCCCACAAAAGCCAGCAATCTCCTGCCCTCTCAACCCTTTCTTCTTTTTTCAATTTTCTGCATGATGCTGGCAAGACTAATAAAATATTTAATGTCCACATATGCATGAGTGCTCCTAGCTTCAAGAAGTATCACTTTGTCATTCCTAGCCCATACTAGGCAGGTGGAGAGAATCTTTGCCCCAAGGATTGAAGCAGCAGCAGAGGCCAAGCCAGACTTTATTCCAGTTAATGTATAATCTAGAGATTCACCGCCTACATTTAAAGTGCAGGGAGCAAAGCTCATCTTCATTTATACCTCAGCAATTCCACTTAGCTTAATTTGGACTATACTAGCACAGGAAACAACTGTTATTACTGTGACAAGGTCTCCCAAAAGAGAAAGAACATGTCTTGTATTTGTGCAATCATATTTGTGTTTCTGATGTTAGAGCTGGGGATTTAAGAGGATGTAAATCCATTCACAGATTCGTGCTCGCTCTTCTCCCCAGAGGTAAAATCACTGCTTCTAGAACACACCTTATGGATCTGTGACCAATTCACTTCTTACCATCCAGCTTTTCTCTCAAAAGGACCTTAAAGCGCTTTACAATCAGCATTTGTGGGGTCATTTACCTGCAGCTGCAATGCAGCCACTGCTGGGGTGAAGCCCCAAAACAGTTCAGCATGTCCACCAATGGCAATCAGAGGAAACAGCCCAGATGCTAACCCCAGGATGGAATTTGGCATGGGCACAAAAATAAGCAGTTTATGCTACAGGACACTCTGCAAGGTTTTTATTGTCCTCAAGCTCAGCAGTATTTGCAGCCCATTTCCTCTGCACAAAATGCAGATAGATAAGTGAAATCTTTAAATGCAGATTTAACTCTATGAGAGGAGTGGTGTTCTTGGAGGAGTCACCTGTGAGAGGGACAGAGATCTATGCTTTAGTATCAGTGAGAGCTGTGCATGTATCCTGCCTGATGCCTGTACATCTGGGAAAACAACATGTCTGATGCACATTTATGGCACGTGCACTGAACACTGTGCAATGCTGCATATGAGGATGCCCATGCCCTGTACACTGCACAGCTGTTGATGGCTCACTGCATCCTCTAGCTTTAGACTCACAGCACACAGCACACTGCATGCATCCTCACCACCTCAGCCCAATAGAAGCGAAATGCATCTTCGCTTCTTGACAGAAGCTCCTAGTGAGAAACAAGAGCTTTGCTCCATCCCTGGAGTTGCTCAAGGCCAGTTTGGATGAGGCCCTGAGCAGCCTGATGTAGTGGGGGGTCAACCAGCCCACAGCAAGGGGGTGGAACTGGAGGGGCTTTAATGTCCCTTCCATCCCAACCGTTGTATGGTTGTCTGATTCTATGAAATGAGTATAGGTACCATGTTGGCCTAATGCAAAGTCAATGGTGTGGGACTCTCAAGAAGCAGAGGTGACCCTCAATCTGTCTAACAGGTAGGCTAACCTACTCCAACTCTTCTCTTTGCTCCATGCCAGGCGTTTGCACTGCACTAGAAACTACATCCACATGCACCTGTTTGTCTCCTTCATGTTGAGAGCTGTGAGCATCTTCGTGAAGGACGCGGTCTTGTACTCTGGGTCAGCCTTGGAGGAGATGGAGAGGATTTCTGAGGAAGACCTGAAATCCATAACTGAAGCACCTCCAGCAGATAAGTCACAGTTTGTGAGTATCACCACAGCAATCTCATACCTCTGTCCTTTCTGCCCAATGCCTCACCCCTTTCAGCAAGGTGTTGGACCATTACCCACTATTACTGCAGTGGGTGTTTGGTTGATTTTCCACTTGGAGCTCCTCTCTGTATGAGCCATAGAGGCAATACTATGCTATAATGTGCTATAACGTCTGTACCATGAAACTAACACCCAGGGCATTGCACAGGCTGCCCAGAGAGGAGGTGGATGCCCCCTCCCTGCAGACACTCAAGGTCAGGCTGGACAAGGCTCTGAGCACCTGATGGAGCTGTGGGTGTCCCTGTTCATTGCAAGGGGAATTGGACTAGATGGCCTTTCAGGGTCCCTTCCAACTCAAATGGCTCTATGGTTCTTGGTGACTTGAAAGACTTTTGGTGCTAATTCCAAGGTTGGAGTGGAGGTATTTCATGAGGAAGAAAGTCAGTGGTAGATATCTCACCTTCCTCTAGCTTTGCATCAAACCATGGCTGGTTGATCACTTCCATCTCTGATCTGATGATGGAAAAGACTTCTTGGAAGAGTCAGTGGAGAGTCTGCCAACAATCCAAAAGAAAGTATAGGGTTCATCTGCATAAAAGCAGATGTCTGCAAACGACACATCTTCATTCATTCTTGTAAACTCCATTTTTTTCTATGGTCAAAGGAAATCAGATCAACACAAATAGTAAAGAGCATGATTCATCACATCCCACAGTAAAAATTTAAGTGAGGTCAGGTGAACTTGACTCCAGAGTACCTGTGTCTCTTCACTGCACAGATGGCTCAGATGGAGACATCTGCATTGTCATGTGGTTGTTGGATTGAAGCCTATCCTCAGAATTCAAAATTGTCCCCACCTGCTGAAGCTGTCTACTCCCCTTGTCTCTGGTCTCACCATAGACCTCCTATGACTGATCCTTGCTATCCACAAACTGCTGGATGCTACAGGAATGGGAGAGATTTTTATTAGGATCAAATGTTAACTTCAGTTCACAAAAAATAATTAAAAAGAAATTAGAGCTAGCTCAAACACACTAGTAGAGCATCTCCACCAATGGGACATCACCGCTCACAGCACAAGCTTTGTGCCTGTGTATTCATTTGGCTTCATAAGTGTGTTTCACAGCCCATGCTACTGCCAGGGACCTGGCTACAAACAGCCCTATTGTCTGGTGTTTGTTCAGTGGCAATAATCACAGCAGTTGTCCTGCAGCAGACGGTACTAAGTGCTTCTCCAAAGGCAGCTGTCATGCCACAAACCCCTCCAGGGAGCTGTGCCTGTTGACTCTGTGTTAGGATGCACACCTCATTTTGGAAATAGCCAACTGACGTAAGCTTCTGAGACCTTGACACTCACATGGCCAGTCGTGTTCTGCTTTGGGACATCCCTACAAATTGCTTCAGGTTATCAATAGGAGAGATCACGACTTATTACAAAATCAGCACCTGAGATGTTTGCTAGCGTGTGCCTAAGAGCTCTGAAATGGAAATTTGTAGCATGTTTTCTTCTTGCTTCACAAATCCATTTCATTATTTCAGTGATTCTGATCAGAGTGCTCAGTGCACTCCAGTGCATTCTCCTTGTGAAAAGAACACAAAATATTTCACTGCATTGTTCTCTGTTTCTCCTTGGGACAGAATAGTTATTAGGGATATTAGCAAATAAATAGCATTTCCCATTCTGATGAATTGACAGGCAAACAAGTGACGAAGGCAACAATCAATACATTTATTTAGTTTCCCAAAAGGAGTGGAAGCTTTGCAATTATTGTCTGACACTCTCTGTGTGGGAGTAGATGGTGATTTTTAATGAATATAGAAGTTATTGTTAAGACTGGATGGGATTTTTTTTTAATTTATCTTCATTCTATTCTCACTTTTTCCCACGTTTGCAAAAGAAGGCATTATGTGTCCCTTTGTATCAGTTAAGCACACACAGCATCCTCACTTTGCAGTTTTCCTCTAATTGGAGTGAGGAATGTTGGTAACAAGGGTAATTTTACCCCACTCTGCGAAAAGGACAGGGGAGCACTGAGTCACAGTCAGTTTTTTCCTCTCTCGTAAGCAAAGGATTGTAGTTCAGTGTGAAGTGAGAGGCCAGCTAATATTCCCATCGAAAATCAGGGACCTGCTAGGTTTCCCACCTTGTAGATCTGTGCAGAAAATGCCCTGATATTTGGGGTGGAATCTCTCCATGGGCTCTGGAAGAAGTCATACTTCCTGATGGTGGTAAGCCCAGGTGAGGTGATTTGCACCAGGTCACCCAGCCCAAGATGACTTGGTCACAGTCCTTTTGTTATCATGGCCACGAGTCATAGGAAAAGGATAAGGCACAGAAACTCTAGGAAGTGGGTGAACCTCTCATCTCTGGGTTTGGGGGAGGAGTGTCAGTTCACTGTCCACTCACATGTGTCCCAGCCCTCCTATACCTCCTTGCTCACCTAGAACCATCAAATATCCCAAGTTGGAAGTGACCCATGAGGATCACTGAGTCCAGTTTCTGGCTCGATGTAGGACAACCCAAAAATCAGACCATATGCCTGAGAATGTCATCTAAATGCTTCTTGAGGACTTGATATTGGGAACGTGGTGTCATGCTGAGGAGAAACTTTCTTCTCAATTGTTCATCTCCTCCTGCATTAATGCTCTTCCTTGTAAAAACTCTGCTGGAGAATATTCTGGTTTATTTCTTCCTTTCTCCTTGCTTCTCAGCCCATCTTGGCAAATACGGATTTATGTAGAACAAGAGTTTCACACCATGTTTCTAACCCCGTCTTTCTGTGGTCATTGCAGGTGGGTTGCAAAGTAGCAGTTACCTTCTTCCTCTACTTCCTGGCAACCAATTACTACTGGATTCTGGTGGAAGGGCTTTATCTCCACAGCCTCATCTTCATGGCTTTTTTCTCAGAGAAGAAGTATCTCTGGGGATTCACGTTATTTGGCTGGGGTAAGTAGATATGGTGGCTCTTGCAAGGACAGTGAGCTCTGTCATGAATCCTTTATCACTTCTGAATTGTGGTATTCATACAGTGACACTTCCAGGATTTCTGGAAGGATCACTCAGGGCTTGGAGGCATCTTCCCATCTTTCCAGGGCAGCAAATGCATGCATGCAAGCTGCTTTTAGTGCACTCTCTGTGTTATCCCCAGCTCTGCCAAGTGCCTCTCACCAGCATTGAGCTGGAGGGGTTGGAAAGCTGCATGAAGCTGTGAGCATCTGCTCCCAGCAGCAGAACTCAGCTCCAATTTCCTACCTCGGGTCTCAGTGGCTGTAAAAAGCTCCTGAGGTTTTGCATATGCTGGAACATCAGTGGAAGCCTGCAGTTTGGGGGGAAGCCTTTTTTTCTTTTTCCTTTTAACCCAGGCATCTTTTAATGGAGTAAGGGATGTGGGTGCAGAGGGGGTGCTCATTAGTGGAAAGCATTGTGGGGCACATGCACTTCAGATGAGAATGTGCTTTTTGTTCACTTCTGGCATAAACTTTGGCTTGCAAGGAGTTATGAGGTGTGGGTAGGATGAGGACAATAAAAACACTGCCCACCGTTGTCTGAAGCATGCTGACTGGAAGGGAGAACAGGAAATATATTAGATGATCAGGAAGGACACAGCTACGAATGATGGAGTGTGAGTCTACAATGGAGCTTACAGCAGGAAAAACCTGCTCAGAGATACCCATGGTTACCTCTAAACTATGTGGCCCAGGTCACTTCCCAGCTTCAGGCTCCAAAATGTGCCTGGCCACATCCTGACTACATTTTAGAACAAGAGAAGTGTCTGTGCTACGCCATCCCCATTCCAGGGCATGACTTCTTGCAGAAGAAAACCCAAGCTTTTGGATGCTGAATGAACCATGGCATACCTAAAAATCTGGGCAAACCAGAGCATAGGCATCCACAGTCTGTGAACACAGGAAGAAATGGTAGATACGTAACATGGAGAAATATTAAGAAGGGCTCCAGGAAATGACTGGCAGGCTGCTGTTTTGCTTTGGCACCATGCATAACAGCAGAGCTCTAAGCAAACCAGATGATGGTGCAAATCTGAGTTTAGGGAGGATGGCACTTTTTTGCTTTGTGAGTTGGACTAGATGACCTTTAATGGTCCCTTCTGACTCCAACAATGCAAGTGATTCACCAGCCTGCAGGACTCTCTCCATCCTTTCTCCTTGCCCAAAAGCTCCTTTCTAACCTTGTATTCCTAGGCCAGAAACAACCAGTGCTGCCTCATAAGGGTGGGAGGCACAATGTCAGACCAGAGTGGGCTCCATCTCTCAGACAAAGCTGAGTCCTACCCAGTCTGTAAGTTTGTGGGTATACATAAATAGAGAGATTTGGGGGACGGAGCATTTCTTACCTTATCTGCTCTGAGACATATTCTTTTTTAAGACAAAACAAATAAACAAAACCCTGCACCCTCTTCCAAACCTTCAAGCTACATAAAATTTCCTTCTCAGAAAATGTTTCTGTACAGTATGGAGAAGACTTGGAGAAGCAGTTCCCCAGAGCAAATTCTGGATGAGGGGGAATCAGCTGAAAAATAATGCCATATGTTTAATCATACTTGATGCTGCTTATAACATAGCCAAAGGAAAACATCCTAACAGCCATGGGTTCCTCTCATTAATTCTTCCAACCACTGCCAGAATATAATCATTTTATCAGTGCGACCACAAAGCTGAAGTCACACCTGTCATAACACCAATCATCTGTGTGCTTCCAAAAGTTTGAGGTTGCTTCATTTAAATTCCTCTGGAATGAGAAGATAGGATCCCTCCCGTTGCATTTGTTTTTGCTTTGTTTTGATTAGCATGATAATGTACACACCCACACCCACACAAATGTATTGCTTTGATAGCTTTTGGGCACTGGAAAGGGCAAGACAATCCAAGAGCCACTGGAGTCAGTGGAAAAACTCCAGTTCCCTGCAGTGGGCACTGGATCCTGCCCATACCACAGCAGTGAAGGACAGGGAATTGGCGATAAATTATTGTGACATTCCACAGAGGTATATAGAAAATACATCTTCCCCCCAAAACTGGGATTTTTGATTTTTTTAAAAATTATTTTGTTATCTATTTTATTTTTTATATTTTGCTTGTGCAACAATAAACAAGGGAGGATTTATCCCGTTTGGAAATTTCCAAGGTGAGGGGAAGAAAAGATCACCCTACAACAGCATATTTCCAGTCTACAGCGGAAACCAGAACATATAGTTGGCCTTTGATGCCAGACCCAAAGGTTTCAGTCGGGTCTTTTCAATCCATGTTCTCACTGGCACAAAGGAGCACAGCTCCATGGAAGTTAGCTGTGCCCTTCATGCAGTTGCAAAGGAGGCACCGATGGCAGAAAGGAAAGTGTTTCTTGCCAGCACCCAACAAAAATAAATAAATAGTGGTATTATGGGTAACAATAAATTCCCCAGCAGTCTTCAAGTTCCATGCAGCTGTTTTATGAAGGAAGTCTAAGAAGCATGACCAATAGCCAGAAAACCCAAGCTGATTCCACTGGCATTTTTCCTTCACACCACGTTAATTCCTCCGGCTGGACTGTGCTAGCTTTCAGCTGCAGTGCAAGCGAGCACTGCAGGAAGACCTAAACAAGACCAACAGATCCATGGGTTGTTGTTAGAGGTGCTTAGGTCCAAAATCTCATGATCATAGAATCACAGAATCATATTAAGGCTGGAAAAAGCCCTCTAGGATCACCAAATCAAACCCCCAACCATGCCCATGTCGCTCAGTGCCACATCTCCATATTCCTTAAATACCTCCAGGGAGGGTGACTCCACCACCTCCCTGGGTAACATTTGCCAGTGTATTAACACTGTTTCTTGAGAAGAAATTTCTCTTAATATCCAACCTGAAATATGATGGGAAGCCCTGCACGTTTATCTCCACAAAAATCACCCTTGCCTGAAAGTACTTGTCCCCACCAAAGCAAGACCCATATGAAAGTGTTGTTGGTCCAGTTTGAGATGAGGAGGCTTTGAAAGACAGTGACTCAGAAAACACTCACTGTAACTCAGGGAAGTTCTCAAATAGCAGGGAACAGAGACCAGATTTCTCCAGGTTTGCATAAGGTCTTTGTTGATAAGTTTTCTTCTCCTAGCAGACACTTTGCAGCCGCCTCTCTTACTTGCACCTTTGATACATTCACCATTTATCTATGTTCCAGAAGACATATCCATTGGGAATACACAAGAAAAGTGGCTGGGTTGATTTGACCACCAGGCTTTGTCTAGGTTGAGGTTTGCAGTTTTTCTGTCTGAAAGGGAGATCGTAGAAACATAGAATCATGTAGGTTGGAAAATACCCTTAAGAACCCCAAGTCCAACCATCCACCCAACGCTACCACGTCCACACATCCCTTGAATACCTCCAGGGATGGCAACTCCATCACTTCCCTGGGCAGCCTGTTCCATACCTGACTATATAGCACCTGCATTGTACACACTGTGTGTGTTGACTGGAAATGCACAGCGCATACAATGTGGATTCTGTAGAAGTCACTCACGGCATCGCCGCCCAGCCATGCACATGGTGTCTGTAGGCATGGGGAGGACACAAATGCACCCATCTGCTCCTGCATCTGTCAATACACACAGCTAATAAGGAGATCATAGGCTTTTTGGAGACACACTATCCTTCCTTTGGAGGGTTGGCCAGATGCATTTAATCACAAATGGCTTTCTTTCCTGCAGAGCTGTTTCCTCATGGGCACCTGCTTGCTTGAGGGTACATTTAGATACCTGTCTTGGAGGTGTGCTCAGTCCTGGTGTTCTGGTTAATGGTTCTGCTGTCTATGGGTGCTGTGAATGCTCAGCAGCAGGGATGGTTCATCCCAGGATATTGCTGTCACACGGAGATACCTAGGAGTTAGGGATCCTTCTCTGAAAGTAAGAGAGTTGCTGGAGGGAAAGCTGAGCCTTCTGACTCTGTCAGCTTATGGACTGGATTACCAGAGTGGGAAAAAGTGTTTGAACTCTAGAAATTATCCGGTGGTCCAAAATCATGACATTGACATGGAGAGAATCTAGAATCTCAGAAACATAGAATCACTAAGGCTGGGAAAGACCACTAAAATCACCAGATGCAACCCAACCCACCCCACCAAGCCCACTGACCATGTCCCCAGATGTCACATCTCCATGGTTCTGGCACCCCTGCAGGGATGGTGACCCCACCACTAAAAACTCCATCTAAAAACAGGGCAGAAAGAGGACTCATTCCGCTCTCTGTAAGTGTAAGAATATTTATGATCACAGTAAAGGATCATGTTTGAGACTCACAGAGGTAAACGTAGCAATAAAACTGGTGCCAGGAGTTCAGTTTGTGTGCCTTGCAGAAAATGTCAAGGATCTTTTCCCTAAGCTTGCCTGAGCAGTTAGAGATGGCAACCCACAATAAATACAACATGTCGGGATTTTTAGCTGTAATTACCTTCTCCTGTATGTTTTATTGTTGCTAGGAAGCTGGAACACAACACAGGATTAGTAGGAATGGAAACAGTGTCCTTTCTGAAGTACGGGACAGACTAGGGTGGAACAAGTATGCATCCAGTGCATCCAATCTCCGAAACAATCCATCTTTCAAATTCAGAGCATCACCATAATGGGTGAACACTGCAGTCTCAGAGGAAGGCAGCAAATCTCTGAGCACAGACAGTTGATGGAAATGAGGATATCATCAATGTTATCAGCATAGTCACACACAACCAAGCCTTTGGTAGCTCAGCCAGGAGTTTGGTGCACGCACGTATTTTTTTGTAGGTGGGTTCTAAACAGCGAGGAGGAAATAGAGGGTGCTTGTTACAATAAATCATCACCTCCCCCCAAGCCCTGATCTTCAGCATGCTCATGGGTTCCCAGAGCTACAGGTCAAGTATTTTCTTTCCACCGCGGGAGATTGTTAAGCAGGGTGCATTCCTTATAAATGTATCTTTGTAGGCAGTGCTGCTGCGCTGGACCTGAGTGAGGCTCTGTGTTTAATTATTTATGCTTTCTTATATTACCGTAGCATTTAAAAGGTTCCAACCAAGATAACGGCCCCGTTGTACACGTGTGTATGAGACAGGCGTCCCTACCCCACACCCCAGCTCAGGAAAGCGTCCGTGGTCAGGAAAGCCTTTAAGCACTCTAATGAGACTTAAGTGCATGCTGAAAGTTAAGCGTGTGCCTATGCACGGCGAGCCCCAGCGAGCTCAGACTGTGAACAGCATATTTACAGTCATCGGTGATAAATGTCGCCTTTATTTATTTTGTGATTTTTTTTTTCCCCACCTGAAAGGGGTTATTCTTCTGGAATTTGTGGAAGCTACTGTGGATTTGATCCTGCCTTTTCAGGGAAGCCAGTAGGGGACTCAGTTGTACAAATAAAGCAGAACTGGACCCTAAGAAAATAAATAGAAGATGATTGCATTTGGATATTGGTGATTCTTTTACTTTTTGTAGGGAAAAGATGATGCCCAGTGTAACTGAGCTGAAATGAGGATGGTTACTTTGGGAACTAACCTCGGGCTAGAGTATTTTGCAAGTATTTCTCTGAATTCCAACATTTGTCTGCTTCTAACAGCAAGTTTCTCATATTTAGCAGAGCTTTTAAACCATCCAGGCCAGTAAAAATCAAAATGGAGCAAAGAAAATTTGAGGAGAGTCAGGAGCTATGAAAAGGCCCTTGACATGTCATAAAAACAAAACAAAATTTTAAAAAATCGTCTCCAAAATTTCCTCCTTCAGCTGATGTCTACCTCTTACTGCTCTGGTCAGTGTATAGTCAGGCATTGTCTTGCTGACCATTGAAAAATATTTATTATATCCATAGAGCGGAGAGCAGTGCAGTTTTTACAGAGGTTCAGTTAGAGCTTATGGGTGAGTTTGAGCTAAAAGCCTCATCCATTCTTTTAAATCAAATGGGACAAGGCTTGTGTTTTAGCCTTGAGGCCAAGTGGTACCACACAGCTCACACCTGTTCACCTCTGCTCCCCATCCCCAGAAGGGATGGCTTGAGCCTTGAAGAGGGTTTTTTGGGATGGTTGGGGGGTATGAACAGGGGAAGATGCCAAAGGCATGTCCAAACCTGGTTTTGTTGCTGCCATGATTCAGGATTCAATGCAAGGACATTTTTTTGTGTGATACATTTTAAGCTTGATTCCAGGCCCACCTTCCCTTGAAGTCAAAGCAAAGGAACAGATGTATTCAGAATGATGCACTGTATGAAACCCATTTCTGCTTTTAATTGAATCAGTTAACTAGAGCAGTCACAAACGTTCAAGTCCTACAGCCCATGTCTCTAAAAGGCAGAGCCTTTTACGGTACAGGAACTTGGTGATTCATACTGACAAGTCCGTGGCCCTCCTCAGGCCTGGACCAGCTGAGCATCTCTAAACACGAACCAGAAAGTTGCTCGAGCCAAGACCACTCATGGTTGGCATCTTGGAAAAGCAATCTGCTCTGTTTTGAGAGCCAGGAGACTTCAGTAGGCTGGACATGTCCAGACCATGCAATTTGACCTCCATAAAATGCTCCCTTCCTGTGGATGGTTTACTATTATAACACCTGGATTACAGAAGATCTAGAAGACCAAGATCATGGAATTATGGAATTGTGAAATTTGGGAGAGACCACTAAGATTATCTAACCCAACCAGCAACCTGTTTCCACTGTGCCTGCTATCCATGCCACTCAGTGACACACTGAGTAACAGAGATCATACGTTCCTTGTCCAGATTATGCCTGAACATTTGAAAACTCCTTCTTCCACCATCCCCTATCCCTCTCCACATGAGCTTGTGCTAATAGAGACCTCAGCTCCATAGTGACCCCACTACTTGTGTTTCTTTGCAGGACTCCCTGCTGTATTTGTTACAGCGTGGGCCAGCGTGAGAGCCACTCTAGCCGACACAGAGTAAGTCGAGTTGGATTTTCTTTTCTCCCTTTCCTGTGTGATGCCTTTGTGGGGTTTTTGGCATAGGTGACTTTGAGGGCGAATCAAAAGGAAAAAAAAAAGAACCAGGCAAAGCCAGAATGAATTCCAGCTATGGCGTTAGTAAACTGTTAAGGTGAGTAAGCAAACTGATATGGTTAAGATGGGTTCAGTTTTCCTGGCTTCTCAGAATTATACAGAATTGGATGAATGTGAACACCTGCAGCTGTTATCCGTGGGGCTGAAGGAAACTCTTTCACAGCTAGGCAGAGACAGGAACGGCCTGAATCATGAATGAATGACCTGCAGAGCACGGTAGAGTTGAGTCATTCACTTCTCCTTCCAGTAGAGGAACTGGAAATCATGGCATGAAACTGGAAGGTAGGAGGTTCAGTGCAGTCAGAGGAGGTGAAGCTGTAACACCTTGCTGCAGGAGATGTGGATTCCAGCATGGACTTAGGATTAAGAAGCACTCTTATAAACTCATGGAAGATAAATTGCTCCAAACATATTAAGCACTCAGTAATGTACTGTCATCCTGAACTGCAGATTGTTCAAAGAATTATTGTGGAATAATATGATTATCCTCTAGCCCAATTATCCTTAAACATCAACTTCTGGTTACTGTCAGAAAAAAAGATACCAAATCAGCCACTTCTTAGGTCCTACACTAACAACCCAAAGCCCCATGTTCTTCCATTAAGCTGAAGAAAGCACCCATAGCATCCCTGGTACCACACAGCCCAGGGCCGACCACAGAACAGCTGTCATCTACATCCATAACTTTGCTATCAAAATTTGAAGGGACCACAGGCAAATAGCTTTGCCTAGGAAGAGACTGCTTTCCAAAGGGTAAAAACCTAAGCTGTAGCCATGGAAAGACTTGGTAGCACAGCTACTGAAGTATGACGCATCTGCACTGGCACAGTCTCGTCTTTGTACAACCTTTCAGTCAGCATCAGTGGTTTCTCTGCCCCTGTCTCTCACTTTCCTTGAATGGTTGCCTGGGCAGAGTTTGGCCCATGAAATGAAAACTGCAGCTGCCATCTGGAGGATGTCTGGCTCAGATAAAGAAAGTCCTGTGGCACTCCTCTCTCTGTGGTTGGAGAGAGTTCAAACAGAGTAATTAACACCAAGTGACCTTATTCCATGGCTGCTGAAAACTCCTGGGAGGAAATAGTGTCCAGCCCCTCGTCAGCAGATGGAAGACCATAGATGAACATCCATGCTACCAACAGCTTGCCCTTTTAGTCTTTACATGGATAAGGGCTTCACTTGGATAAGGAAGATAAAGGCTTTTGTGGGTTTCACTATGAGAGCAAGGTTGAGGGAGGTACACAGAATCTGAATGTGAGGAAAACAGAATTATCCATATCATAATGTATTTGGCAGGGCAGATCCCCAAGGAAAGCTGTGCAGGTTTATTCGGAGGGGTGGTATGAGGACATTTCAGCCAATGCAAAGCCCACCATAGCCTCTTTTGTTATCATAAAAACCAGATTATTTTTAGTGCATATTTTTCTCTTAAAAAAGTGAAGTGGGAAAGGGTGGGTTCCTGTCCCGAGGGGACCGGTCTTGGTGCCTATAGAAAGAGCTGTTCCACCATCTAGAGAGTACAGCTTTAAATGCACTTACCAGGGGTTTCGGTTTTGAATGGTATGGCAGCAGAAAAGGGGCTACTTTGAAAGGTTAGAGCTAGGCCTTTCCAACCCAACAGGCTTTGGAGAAATCCCAGCCTTCCAGGGAGGATTTACCCAAGGAGACGCCGAGCCTGTTGGTCTTTGTAACCAATGGTTTCCTGATGGGATGTCAATCTCTTCTCAGGTGTTGGGACTTGAGTGCTGGCAATTTAAAATGGATTATTCAGGTGCCCATCCTGGCAGCTATCGTGGTGAGTACTGGCTGATCACAACAACTGGGATGCAGTGACTGTATTTGAGTAATGGGTGCACAGTGCAAAGAGCTGGCCAAGCTATCCTGCTCTAATTACACTCTTCATATATCCTCATCAGGCACCTGCAATGGGAAGCACTGTGACAATCTGCATGAGGGGAAGCTAGTGGGTCATTATGTGTTTGAGTAGAGTCCTAACTGGCTTGAGAATTTGCTTTCAGTTTTTGGGTATTACCCTCTTTCTTCTCCCTGTGGTTCTCTGTGGTCCTCTATTACTCCATAGCAAGCAAAAGAGCTTTTCCACACTCACTCTCCATTACATACAGCCTTGAGTAGCTGAACAGAGTCAGTAAGAATCTCTCTATAGCGGGTTTTGTATCAAACTCTGTACTTTGCTCTGACTTACAAATAAGGAGGCCTTTGGGATAGGATCAGTGTGGAGGAGAAGAAAACAAGTCCACCTGCATATAAACAGCAGGACAGTTTCAGAATGCGATCACATGTGTGAAGAGGTGAGCTGCTTTGGACTTGAGGGGGATTTTTTCTTCTTCAAAATTTCCTTTTGGTAGAAATTCTCCACCTGGCTCTAGCAATCTGTTCTGCACCTTTGGAAGAAACAAGTCACCAAGACCGCATCGTGGTCATTGGAAATGAAACAGTAGCATGGAGAAGTTCAGATAGTTCAGCTAGATGAATGCCAGCAACCTCATTGCATTTAATTTAAAGCCCAATTAGCAGAGGAGAAAGAGCTCGATTGAGGCTCGTCCTTGTAAAAATAATGTTCCTCCATGAGGCTCTGCTGTGCTTGTACCCTGGCTATATGCAAATGAAGCTATTTATCATGCAAAAATATTCTGTGGGTTGTTTCTGTTTAATTTCTGTGGGTTTATATTGTTCACTTGGCTGCTTTTTCAATTCCCACACTGGCTGGTCATACGTTACTGGACTAAGTTATGCATTTTCTGGATGTACTTGCAGAGAATTTAAAGGCTGAGGGGTTTGAAATCCCTTCACTCTGTTTCTACTTTTGATGTCATTAATTTGTCTGTATTTTTTGTTAAACTTAGCACATGTTTGAAGAAAAGTCACAGGAATTTTCCTCCTGACTATGATAATGTTGAGAATCTCCAATTTAGTGGACAGATGCAGAACAAGATCTCAATGCTGAGTGTTTTCAACTAGAAAAAAACTCATAAAAGAAACAAAGTTTTTTTTTTCCCAATTCTTTTTCCCTTTTTTTTTTTTAATTTAACTTTGGTTTCCAATGAAAATGAATTGTATATGCCTGTAGGCCGTGTGCTTCTCTGCCTATGGTCTACCCATCCCTCTCTCAGAACCTTTCTGCCAGTCCATAAATTCTAACCAAATGGGGTTGCAGAGATGTTAAATTCCCACAAACCTCATGAAAACAGTCAAACAGATACAGGAGAGAAATTCTACTAATGCCCCATCAAGGAAAAGGGTGTAATGTGACCGTACTCCTTTTTAATGCAGAGGAGAGCTGTTTGAAATGAACTTGCACCTCATTAAAGGAGAAAGAATCCAACCACAGAAGACAAAGCCATAGCAAACCAGGCCGTGTTCATTCAGCTGTTCAGGGAACTACTTGTTTTAACAGCAAGGATAATTAAGCATTGGAACTACTTCCCATGGTTGTGGCAGGATCTCCGTCATGGAAACATTGAAGCCCAGATCTGCTGTAGCTCAAACCAAAATGAATACAAGGAGGTCTTATGGGCTGTGTTTTGCAGGAGATCAAACTAGAGGTCCACAATAATCCCTTCTGGTGTATGAGCCTCTGTGTGCGGCATGGTAATTTGTTTCCTTGAAATGCTGCTGTTATCTGAGAAGTCAGCTGATTGCTTTAAACCTCCAGAGAAGCCCATAGGCATCAGCATTAGCCCAGAGATATGCAGCCATATGGGTGCTTACACAATGGCTCTGTATGTGACCTCACCATGTCACCAAGAACAAATGTGTCTGGGGCAACAGCAGGCATGATCCTGGCCCCAGTGAAACCAAACCTCAAGGACATCCAAAAAGCCAGGAATCCCTCAAAAATCTCCCTGTAGTTATATTGCTCTTCTGTGTTCTTGATCTATCATATCTAATTATGCCTACTCTCTGCCTTCTACATAATGCAGTTTCCTCAATCTTCTTTATTGATGTGCATGGAAACATGGGAAAACATCATTCTAATACTTCTTTCAGCCTAAGACAACCTTATTTTGGGGTTGACTGTAAGGGACAAGTATAACCAAATTTCGCTTTGCTCCCTGGGCACCAAACTCAGACTGAGAAGTTTATAAGGCCATAAAAACAGCCCACACAGAGTCGTAAGCCACCTTCATGCGAAAGGCAGCCCAGGCTGGATGGCTCATATGTCAGCGTTTCATTTGGGATGCCTACACTTTCGTGGAGAAGGCCATTGCTCTCCCTCACAGCCCTTTGGATTAAACACAGCTGAAGTAATCCCACCCACCAACTACTGGGTCTTTCCTGGGGAGGTCATCTCTTGCATAGGAGAAGATCTTTCAGCTCATACACAGCACAGCCACAAGGTCATTGCATGCCGCAACCCTTTGACTCATCTGGGGGAGACACTGACTGGACAACATGAGCACTGACTGAATGTCTTTTATATTTTGTTGTTGTTTCTTTTTCTTCCTCTTCCAGGTAAATTTTATTCTTTTTATCAATATTATCAGAGTCCTAGCAACCAAGCTACGGGAAACAAATGCAGGGAGGTGTGACTCAAGACAACAGTACAGGTGAGTCATGAACCCTCCTCATGTTTTGGGTCAAAACATGCTTTCCCACTAAACTACAGGAGGAGCCCAGGATGTTTGGTTCAGCTGAAGACACTGTAGACACTCAAAACAAGGCAAGAAGAATGTCATCTTCTGTGTAATGCAGAATGATCAGCAGCCATTTAAACCTCTCCTAAACTTATCCAATCCAACCCATGGGACTTGCCTTGTAGTATAGAGAGGAGTTCAGTCCCTCCAACCAGTTTGGAAGTGGCTGTGCTGGCCTGGAACTGAGAGTGCAAAAATAAAAGCACTGTTTATGCTGTTGATGCCCCTAATAGTTGTACTGCTTTATTTATTTTTGCTTATTTCCCTCCTGTGCTTTGTAAAACACGGTCTGTTTGTTAAACCTGCTCTTCACTGGGTGCTTCCTGAAACTTTGCTGGAAATCTGGCATTTCCTTGTTTGTTTTGTTTTCCTTTGCCCTGCCAGCTCTATTCTCTTGATAATTAAGGGTATTTGCAGCATAGTCGAAATGGGACAGAAAAAGCAGATTGCTCAGCCACCTCAGCTGCTTGAGAGCTCCCAGGGCTTCTCATCATCTCTTGATCTGACAGACCAGCAGGACGCACACTGAGGGGGAAGAACAGAGTGTTTTGGGCTGCAGACCATGAGATCATTGCTACCATCTTCCTCTCCAAACACAAGATGTTTCATTTGAAGCAGGAATGAGATTTGGCTGGAAAATATCTCTCCATTTTCCTTTGCTGCCCCGTCAGAGCTCTGATTTATCTATTTATTTATTTATCCCTGGCTGAAGCTTGCTATTAATTATGGTTTGGATGAGGGCTGCTCCTTAATGTTTTACATTCCCTCAGTGGTTTCCAGTTGCTGGACAGAGATGGTACCAGAGCTTTCTGGTAGCGATGTCTGCCCCTCTCAATAGTTGCCTGCACTCAGTGACTTGCTGTAACTCTTGGCAGCAGTCTTAATCCTTCAATTAGCATCACTTCCAGGCAAGGCTGGTTCCCTCAGGAGCAAACTCAGCCAAGTACTCAGGGCTTCATTGTAGTTCACTCCTACTCCTTGCTATAAGTCATGTGCTGAGATGGAACTTCTCTTTCAAATGGGAGCTAGTATAGTAGACCAATACTGGTCTAGTATTAAATGTGGAGGTTGGTGGCCCTGCATGTGGCAGGGGGTTGGAGATTCATGATTCTTGAGGTCCCTTCCAACCCTGGCCATTCTGTGATTCTGTGATTCTGTGATTCTTTCCAGTGGATCATAGACTCATAGAATCACTGAGTTGGAAGGGAACCTTAAAGACCATCTGGTCCAACTCCCCTGCAATGAAGAGGGACACCCACAGCTCAATTGGGTGCTCAGAGCCCCATCCAGCCTGACTTTGAATGTCCCCCAGAAACAGGGCATCCACCACCTCTAGAAATACTGCTCTCCAAAATGCCTCCTATAAGTGATGATGTCCTCCTTACCCCATGCTGCACCATCCCCTTGGTATATAGCATGATTCTGCTCCTAGGTGCGCTTCCCTCCCTACTATTGCACAGAAGGCACTAACCCAGGGGGGACCTTTATGTCTTGCTTCAATAAGCTACACAGAATTGCAGCATTATAGAAAGGCTGAGGCTCCCTGGAGATCATCTGGTCCAACCTTCCTGCCCAGACAGGTTCAGATGGAGTCGATGGTCTAGGTCCATGTCACCCTTTCACCTTCTTTCCATGTTCCTCTCCCGAAACAGTGGATGGTCTGAGACAAAGAAGTCTTGGTGCCTTCATCCCCAGTACCTACATCAGCATCCCATAGGGACATGTATGTAGAGAGGGAGACGTGCTGAAGGATGGATGGGGTTGTGTCACACATCACAAGAGAAGAAATAGCTTGAAACTGGAGATGGACACAATGCTTTTGTAAATGTAAGATATATAGGACTAGCCAAGGGCGCATGTTAAGACAGAATGAAATTATGCATGACAGACACCCAAGGTACGAGATGGACTGGCTGGGAGTTTCATTCCATCCAGTGATTTCCTCTGTGTCTTTCTCTTTCCTTATTTCTACAGGAAGCTGCTGAAATCTACCCTCGTCCTTATGCCTCTGTTTGGCGTTCACTATATTGTTTTCATGGCTATGCCATACACAGATGTGTCAGGGATTCTTTGGCAAGTTCAAATGCACTATGAAATGCTGTTCAACTCTTTCCAGGTAACTGTTAACTGTGTTGTAGCTGTTAAACTACGGACACAAACACACAGAAGAGGGAAATGAGAGCGCAGAATGTTCTCTCTGGAAAAAGGGTTGTGTTTACAGTATGCCAAATTTCATTCACAAGATCATTTGACAATATTTTAGCAGCAGGTATGTTTTATATTTGCAAAATGGAGCGTAAAAAGGTTTAGTGTGTTGCTGTTGAAAGATAACTTGCCCCACAATATCATGTAGCTCCAGACTAGACATAAGCTGGTAGAGATCCAGAGACATGTTGTTTCAAATTTGTTCAAATTTACTTCTCCCAAGCTGTCTTTCAGTCCTGTGAATTGATTCCTCAGTTCTAGGTTTGAGCAATATGCAGCTTCATTTACAGGGCTGGTCCTATACAAGGTGCAACAGCAGGAATATGCAACTCTCTGCAAGCAGAGTTGTGTTGCATGGTCACCGTACGTCTTTCCTGAGAGATTAAGTTTTGGCTTATGTTCTACTACCTATCATCATGGTCAACTGGTGTGAATAATGAAAGGTGAACAGTAGGTCTGGGAAGATGAAAGTTGAGAGAAACTCTAAAGAGATGGGGACAAAACTTGTGTTCATGCACTTCCACAATTCCTGTTGGGTGAAGATGGGATAAAATAGCCCACCAAGATCTAGGTAAACTATTGGCCAACAAAAAAATGTAGATGGTTTTCTCACATCTCAGTTCTTTTGATTCATATTAATGTGCTATTTCTTTTTCATTCTAGGGATTTTTTGTTGCCATCATATACTGTTTTTGCAATGGAGAGGTAAGAGTCATAAGCTTCTTAATTATTTTCTACCTTTGTTAAGCTGGTTCCAAATGTGGGTGGTAAGGTGGATGCACATCACTGTATACCCCTCTTATTTTAGAGATGCAGCCCTAGTTTGCACTCACTGAAAGATCTATCCATCCACACAAAAAGTTCATACATTCTTTTTGGTCATATAAGACATACAGATCAGTCTGCAACAACTGATGAACTACTGGAAGTAGCTGGTGGGGAAAAGAAGTGTTGTTTTTTTTTTCCTTTTCCCAGCACAAGTGCTGTTTAGTGCCTCTCAATATCAGAGCTGTGTCAGGAATAAAAGTGGATTGATAGAATAGCTGTTTAATCATCAAGCTCTTTTGTTAGGCCAAGCTTTGTTGATCTTTTTATTCTGCTTCAAGTGATGTGCTTTAGTTTTCAGATTGTTTTTGAGCTGTCTTTGTTTCTTTAAATTCCCTCTGTGGCTGCATAGTAAAAACTTAGCTGATCAGTGAATGCACACTGAATTATGATCTTGGACAAATGTGAGGCTGCTATAGGCAAAGTTTATGGATTTAAAGGTGAAATGCAACTACAGATAAGCTCCTTATGTCCTGCAGCATAAACCCAAGATGTTCCTCCCAATTTCACCCTCCAGAGAGTTCCCATCCATGCAGATATTACCTCCTTCTAATGACTCTCCCCTTCTCCTTCCGCTCATGCTTTTTTCCCTCCTTGTTTCTCAGGTCCAGGCAGAAATAAAGAAGTCATGGAGCAGGTGGACATTAGCACTTGATTTTAAAAGGAAAGCACGAAGTGGGAGCACAACCTACAGTTATGGACCAATGGTTTCCCACACCAGCATCACAAATGTAGCCACGAGGGGGGCACTTGCCCTTCATCTCAATACAAGACTTATACCAGGGACCCTCAATGGACACCGGAATTTACCAGGTTATGTAAAAAATGGCTCTATTTCTGAAAACTCTATGCCTTCTTCTGGACCAGAGCAGTACAACAAAGATGAAGAGTACCTGAATGGCTCTGGGCTTTATGATGGAGACAGACCCACAGTACTTGTTGAAGAAGAAAGAGAGACAGTGATGTAAGGAGAAGAAGAAACAAAAGGATGAAAAAGGTTCCTGGAGAGCATTTAGTGGGCAAAAGAATATCAGGCCACACAATGGATGCCAAGGGTTTCCATGCCTTTTCTCTGTTCTGTGGAACAAGAGGTTAAGTTATATGGAAAAAAAAAAAAAAGCCACCAACGTGGCCAGTGGTTGATCACACACATATACCCAGTGATCTCAGTCTCCCCAGTGTTAATGGAGGCAGGGCTATCCACAGGCCTTGCTACATGCTGAACAACAGAGATACTGAGAGTTTGTGGGGAGGGTTGCACAGCAGCACGCGGTCCTTTCACTTCTTGGAGAACTTGGGCAGTCAAGGAGGATGGGAATCTCACCCAGTAAAGCAAGAGTCTTGCGGGGAGCGTACATTGTCATCTTCTTGCAAGGGTACAAGCCACCTGAGCATCAGTGTCTTTGGTTTGGTTTGCTCTGTCCTTTTTGAATCTGTCTGGTAACACACATGAGAATGACCAAGGCCCTTTGGGTACCATACCTGTCCATTCTTGCAGCCAAGTTCTTAATGTGCACAGCTTGGTACAACTTGGGACATGTTCTTCCCTTGGGCATTCTCACTCCTTGGCAAACAGGGGCAGGTTTAACAGCTCATGGTCACTAGATGAAGGCAAAAAACTACATTCTTCTTTCCTTGACTTGAGTACCATAGCAAGCCAGAAACCAGTGCAATTTTAAGATGGGAAATGCAGTTAACAGAGTGTGTGACATCTTTTGTGTGACATTTTCAGTCTTCCAGATCCAGCAGTAGAGATAGGCCCAGTCTGCCTGCTCCCAGGCATTTTTAGATGGGGAGGGTGTTTGCAGATCTTCAGCTGTGTGTCTGTGTGTGCGTGTGGCTAAAATCAGCTCAGAAGGTCGCTATCTCAGCCTCCCTCTTTGTGGATGCTCATGGAAACAAACATCAGTAATGTTCTTATAAAGTTACACATTTCTTCTCATTCTCCCCTCTAAATTACTTGTTTCTCACTAATCCAAACACTCATGAAGAGAAACACGAGATGCTGGATACAGTCAGGCAAGCTTGCTTTCATGAGGTTCAAGGGCAAAATCTGCTGGGTGTAAGCACAGAGATGGCTCGTGGACAGTCACCTTCTGAGCATCTTCTTTCTTTCCCATTCTTAGTGGTCGAGACATTCAAATGAATCACACATACCTACAGACATCTGGCCAGCATCTTTGCTGGTGTGATTAAGTATAATTGCAGCCAAAGTCACTGATTTTGCCCAGAGACGCTTAGAAGAGGAAATATTGGGGTTGCCTGAGAAGGGAAGAGCAGAAGAAAATTTAGTTTAGATGTTCAGAAGAAAATCTTTAATCAGAGAGTGGAGATGCACTGGTACAGGCTGCTCAGGCAAGCTGTGGGTGCTCCATCTCTGGAGGTGCTCAAGGTCAAGCTGGATGGGGCCCTGGGCAGCCTCAGGTGGTGGGGGGCAACCAGTCCATGGTTGGAACCAGATTGGCTTTAAGATCCCTTCCAGCCCAACCATTCTATGATTCTATAAAATGCCTGATTCCTACAGGAGAGAGAGACCAGAGTCTTTTGTCACTTGCTGGTGGTTTTTGCAAGGAGAGCCAGAAGGTTGTTTCCTGACACAACTCATGTCTTCAGCAGTGACAAAGAGATATGGCTCTTGTTGGCCAACAGTGTTTTGTTCTTCACACTTCAACCAGGTGAGCAGCTAGGAAAAGGTCTTTTCTGGTTCGGAAGCATGATTCAGAATTTCACAGTAATGGGAAATTAGGAATGGTGACCAAACTTGTCACTTCCTCAAAGAAAAGACTCTGGTTGAGCTGGCTTGGATCGTCTCTTCAGCCCATCGTATGTCACTATTCCTTTGCTGCAGTCTGAGAGTCAGACCCTCACGGTTGTTTTATTTCTTCCAGATAAGTTTCTGGAAGCTGAAGTATTTTTTACTCCACCTGGCTGTTACTGAAATGGAGCAGAGATCAGTCATTGGGGCAGTTTGCAGAAGTCTTTTAGGATGCAGGTGGGGCCTGTGGAATGTCTTACCATCTATCCTGATCCTTTAGGTATGTCTGCTGTGGCATATCAACCAGCGCTTCTGAGATGCATCCACTCACTTCACACTGCAAGCTCTGAGTATGTATGAAGGACTAAATCCTCCAAAATTCTGAAGGAGGTCAGGGTGAGCCTAGAGATCTTGACTCTGTTTTCTGTGTCTCACATCTTCAGGCAACTTCTCAGGTTGAAGGCCAGTGTAGTACCAAGCCTCCTTGCCTTGGCATCTCTGGGCTTTTGATTTGGAATTGGTAGGGAGCGTGGTGGCTAAGAGTCAATCCTCTGCAAGGCACTGAAGCACCTCTCAAACAGCTGCAGACCTACATGAGCCAGTCTTTAAAAGCCAGTATTTATTTGTGATGTTCGATTGTTTTTTTTTCCTTATTTTGTATCATCAGAATAACTCAAAACTCCTCATAACCATTTACCACCAAACGGCAGCTATTGAAACATTGAGTTTGCAAAGCATGGCTTTTTTTCTTTCCCTCACGCTCTCTTATTGCTCTTGTTGCTTCTATGAGCAATAATAACAATGCTAACAGTGGTATTACAGAGGAGTTAAGTAATCCTGCAAGAGAAGTCACCTCTAGTGAAAGTTTGGCATGGAGAGCTCTGCAGAAATCTGTGTCAGCCCTGCTCTGCTCGCTGCTCGCCTTTTCCTCACAGACATTGGCACAGCCTCAGGAGGGAATCAAAGGGGCAGAAGTTCTCACTAGAGTGTGTACAGCTGTTATTCAGCATCCCGTGTGGCTGAGCTGCCAATGAGAGAGAAACACATTGAGTGTGCTGGCTCTGGTTTTCTGCCCTTCCAGAAGTACGTTGTGCTTAAAACGTGCCAAGTAAATGCAATGACCTTCCTTTTTTTTTTTCTCACTCAGAGGAATTACTTGGTATCATTTCACTGGTGGGACAAAACAAAAAGGCATACAAAATAAAAGCCACCAACAAAACACCAAAAACCCTAGTGACTCACTGTTTATTTGTGCTTCTTACAGAGGACTCAAGATTAATAACATGTTTGGCAATTGCTTAACAAAGTTCAGGGGATTAGCAAAACCCATAAAACGAGTTATAAACAAATTCAGCACCCCTCATAAACAGAAATGCATTCATCACTAGATTGTTGAGAATAAATGCTTAGAAACTGGTGTTGAATGTAGATAAAATTTACATGCATGAGGAATGTGCATGGGAAGAAGTATTTTCTTGATCTTTTCAAATACCGATCGTACACAGTAGATTCTTTTTCCTTGGTGTTCGTGTTAAGGAAAAATAAAGGGAAAATGCCTATACCATAACAGGGGAATACTTCTGCTTTTAAAGATATGGTAGAATGTAATGTCAAAGTCTGTTCCTGTCCTTCTTGTGCTGATTGCAGACAGCACTGTTGGCTGAGCATATAGGCTATGCTGTATTAGCCAGGGATCCAAGGGCATTCTCTACTTTCTCTTTGAGAGGAAAAGATTAGACCCATGGTGCTTTGAAACCAAAATTTGCTGTTTTCATTTGTCCTGGAAGGGCAGAGAGCCAAAATGTTGAGATATGGAATATGGTGATCTTCAATTTTCTCCATCACCAGGAGATCCAGGCACTTGCAAGCACAGGGCTGAGAGCTGTCCCTGTTCTTTACAGGGGAGCTGGACTTAGATGGCCAGTAAGGGTCCCTTCCAACTCAACTGATTCTATGGTTCTATGATTCCATGTCATTTTATCCCCATGCAAAGGTCCGGTCCTCTACAGGGTGACAGTTCCCATGCTGTCTGATTTACACATGGGCAGACAGACATCCTCAAGCTCGTTTCTAGCAGAGGCAAAGGCTTGACAAACCTGCTTGCCTCTATTTCACCACCTTTCTTTCCTCCATGGTGTCAGCTTTATGTCCTTTTCTTCCCATCCTGTAAACCAGCTGACAGTATGCAGGACGGGTTGCCACTGAGATGCTGGAGTTGGTTAGGAATCTCTCTCTCTGGCAGGTTCATCTTGTGGTACCCAGCCCTGCACCTCATCTATCCCACCCATAGCAGCTCAGTCTGCTAACAATCCTAATAATTCTACTTGATCTACCTCCTTTCTGAATAGACATAGAAATGTTAACATTTCTTGGACTCGTATTTCTTAAAGATGACTTTTGGCAGCTCCTCATCATTACTGCTTCGCCTGTATTTGTGCAGACAATTGTTCTTACACCTTCTATAAACTGCTTTGTCTTAGTTCAGATGAGATCATGTCTTGTCCCCTTCCTCACCATTCCTCAGCTCTGCTGCATCTTGTCTGATGCATATTAGAGCCAAATCAGTTGACAAAGTTCTCCCCAAAATTGAACTGCTCAGCCAGGGACTGGCTTCTTTTATTTGTTTATGGGCAATTGTCTGAAAGCTGCAGAACATCCACGGAGCTGGTAAGAATTTTTTTGTTTTTTAAAGACTGAAAATACACTAAGCATGAAGATCTCCAGTTTTTATTCCTTTTATTGTTTGGATGGATTCAATGGCTGTCTTAAAAGTTTTTAGACTTCTGAGTTCAGTCTTTCAAAAAGTTAAGGCACCTCAGTGTGTTTGGTTTTCTTGTTTTTCCACGGGCTAATTTTTTCTGCATAACTTCCACCTAGAATTCATTGGCAGCTGCAAGTGGGATTACTGATAACAAGGACATCCTCAGCTCATCTGTATCTCTCACTCTCTTCAGAGTTTCTTTTTCTTGAGATAGGACTGCATGAAATAAGAGAAAGCACTTTAAGAGTTGACCTTCAATGGAGAGGTTGTATGAACCTGTGAAGTCCTTTCATATGCAATGTTGCTTCTTATTCAACTGTGCCTTTTTCCACCCATTGTTGCCCATGAGTTTGCCAAAGCCCATCTGTGCCTTCTCATAGAAAGTTATGCAGCAATATCGTGGTTCACATCCTCTCTCCTGGGCTTTATCTGAACTTTGTGACATTTTGGCTGTAAGAGGAAGCAAAAGGAAAATGATCTGGGGCAGCATTTTACAGCCTTTGGGGTTAAGGGTTTGGTGTGCGCCTCCTCAGCCCTGTAGCCTTTGTCACAAATGGGCATTGCTCTGGTGGCTGCAAATTGTAAATCATTCAGCATGTAAGGAAGATTTATTTTAAGGCCACGGGCAGATTAAGGAAGGTCTTCACCGTGCCACTTTCCCACTAAGAGCACTTGCTGGGGGAGAAATCATGTTGCACTCTCAGGCAAGTCTAGGGAAATTGATGTATTTATTTATTTTTAATATAATGGAACAGGTTTGATTTTTTTCTTATTATTATTTTTACTTCTATTGCTGATGGGTTACCACATTCTGCAGCATAAATATATGGACATATATGATATTTCTGGCAAGCTACGGAGGTGTTCAGGCATCCAGTGTGACTCTCCAGTCAGAGTAGATTTTATATCCCATTCCTCTAGAGTATCTTGAAATGAGAAAAAATATTAAACTGTAAAGGAAATGGGTTTGCGAAAGACCCTATAAATACATTTCCATCATGAACAGCCAGGGCTGTCTAAATTTGCCTCAAAACATAAAGTTTCATAAATGGTGTGAGTAAAATAAGAGGGATGTCCATCTCTGTGGATGTCCATTGGAAGGCAGCTCTCCTATTTTTGCCTACAGAGGAGAAAGGTTGAGCCTATTGGACAGCAAATACTGTTGGCCCAAAGGAACGTATTGTTTTGAGGCAGCAGTTCCATTTGTATAACAGTTATTGGGCTCACCCTGTTCCACTCAAACTATTTTTATGGCCTCTCACAGAATCAAAACTTAAGCTTAGGTCATATCTAAGGGTGGGAGAGCAAAAGAAAGTAGAGATGGGTTGTTGCAAAGACACATGATTAACTAAAGGAGACTGAAATATTGGAGGTTTTTCCAATAATGACATGTTGCCTGGAAAGTCTGAGCCAGAAATCTGGTCTCCCTGGTGTTTTCTCATGCTCTTTGGGGTGCATGGAGGTTGCATGGACACACAGCTGAGAACCCACCCGTGTCCAGCTTCTGGTCATGTAAAAGCTCACTGAATGAAAAACGGTGACCTTGCCTTGCAAGTCTTACCAGATGTGTTGTTAATGAGCTTCATTTAGTGGTTAGCCCAGAGTTTATTTGGTGTCTGTATATGAAGGCTGATAGTAAGAGGAGGATCTCCAAATCCTAGTATACTTTTTGTTCAGTGCTTGTAAATATCTTCACTGACTGCTCCTTGATTTGTAAGTGCTTCTGAAGGCTTTAGAGCAGAGATCTACTGAAAGTCCAACAGTTGAATCTGAGACTGAGACTTGGTCTTTTGTCAGTGCTAGCAGTCCCCCACCTCACCTGTAGC